TGGCTGCGCCCTTAAGGGAGAGTCGGGGCCGTGCCGTGACGCCGATTGGGGTCCCCGAACGTCCCTTTTTTTGGCTTTGCCCACGGCGACGCCCCGGGGTTGTGCCTCAGCCCGCGCTCGCGTCCCCAAAGGTGCCCGTCCGTGTCCCCGAACGTGCCGGTTTGGGCTTTGCCCTCAGTGACACCCCGGGGCTGCGCCGTGACACAGAATGTGGGTCCTGAAATTGCTGATTTGGGTCCCTAAATGCCCCTTTTTTGGTTTTGCCCTTAGCGACGCCGCAGGGTTGTGCCACGGCACTCCCTCCTGTCCCCATTCGTGACCCCAAACGTGCCCGTTCGTGTCCCTAAATGTGCCAGTTTGGGCTTTGCCCTCAGTGGCACCCCGGGGATGCGCCGTGACATGGATTCGGGTCCTCACGTGCCCCGATTTGGGTCCCCAAATGTCCTTTTTTTGGCTTTGTCCTCAGTGACACCCCGGGGTTGTGCCGCGGCCCTCGCTCGTGTCCCTGAATGTGCCCGTCCGTGTCCCCAAACGTGCCAGTTTGGGCTTTGCCCTCAGTGACGCCTCAGGCTTGTGCCGCGGCGCACACACTCGTGTCCCCAGACGTCCCCATTCGTGTCCCCAGACGTGCCGGTTCGGGCTCCGCCCTCAGCAACACCCCGGGGCTGCACCGCGCTGCCAATCCGTGTCCCCAGACATCCCCAGGGGCCCAATCTCGACACCCCCCCACCACCACCACCTTCCCCACAGCGCCTGATCGACAAGACGAAGGTGACCTTCGTCAAATGGCTGCCGGAGACGGAGCGGCTCTTCCTGGCCTCCCACGCCAGCGGCCACCTGTACCTGTACGACGCCGAGCAGCCCTGCGGGGCCGCGGCCCCCCAGTACAACCTCCTGACGCAGGGCGAGGGCTTCAGCGTCTTCGCCTGTAAGAGCAAGACCCCCCGAAACCCCCTCCTCAAATGGGCGGTGGGCGAGGGGGCCCTCAACGAATTCGCCTTCTCGCCGGACGGGCGCTCGCTGGCCTGCGTCAGCCAGGACGGCTGCCTGCGCGTCTTCCACTTCGACTCCATGCTGCTGCAGGGGATGATGAAGAGTTATTTCGGGGGGTTGCTCTGCGTCTGCTGGAGCCCCGACGGGCGTTACGTGGTGACAGGGGGCGAGGATGACCTGGTGACCGTCTGGTCCTTCGCCGAGGGGCGGGTGGTGGCCCGAGGTCACGGTCACAAGTCTTGGGTCAACGCCGTGGCCTTCGATCCCTTCACCGGGGCGGCGCAGGCCCCCCAGCCCCCCGAGCTGAGCGGGGGCGAGGAGGAGGACGAGCCCCCCGATCCCCCCCCCCCCCCCCCCCCCCCCCCCCCTCGTCCGCCGCCCCCCCGCCGTCACCTACCGCTTCGGCTCGGCCGGCCAGGACACCCAATTCTGCCTGTGGGACCTGACCGA